GAACTTGGTTAGCGTTACTGAAAAGCAGAGCGAATACGCGTTTTGAAGAGCATTAGCCGTTCCGTAATCACGATGCTGGCACTGAAACATTACTGAGCGACCTTGAAGAATTATGACTTTCATGTTTAACATTTTACGCTTAAAATAATATATACACAAAAAGATTATCCACGTTAAAGCCTGAAAATATCTCTACGTGAGTATTTATATAATTTCTAATAGAGAAATTATTTAAATTAAAATCTAAAATATCTCTACGTAATATCTCAAAGAGTATTTACATATAAATATCTCAGAATGTTTATATAATTTCTGGTAGAAATTATAATACAATCTTGATTACATTTGCATCAGTATATTATATCCAGTTCGATATCCTGAATCGCAACATTTCCACCGTAATGCTGTCGAGACGATGTCGCTTCTTGCGAGACGCCTACGCGAGAGAAGCGATGCATTCGGTAGCGCAGCTCGTCGCGTGAAAGTGAAGCAAGTGGGCGAGCAGCGCGAAAAATTTCATGGGGAACGGAGGCAGCGAGAACTCTGCGTGTGTGTGCGTAGAAAGATTCTCTACACACACCGCCGCGGGCATTAATTTACACCGCGCGAACGAAGTGGTAGTCGGGTGTTATTAAGTCGGAGACCAGAGAATCGCCCAATGTATGCATATATCGAATGCGAAGCGTGAGAATTCGTCTCGCGGAGACTGGGCTGAGGGGATCGTTCAGGCTCAACGAGGCGTTGTGTTTCTCATTCTGTCTTCAGGCAAGGGCTCTTCTGTCACCTGCAGCGAGGTAAGGATAAACTTAGCTACCATATTTTCGCCTCCGTTACTCACCTGCGCTGCTTCAATTCTTATTTCTTTGTATACATTTTATATATTTTACTTTTTATTTCATTTTGTTTATCTTATCACGAAGAAAAAGATTTGTTAAAACAAGTAAAATCTTCACTAATTTAGCAAGTATATGGTCGTAATGTACGGACAGCCAGCTTTTTTCTACAAAAAAAATTCCTAAATTTAAGTAATATTTTCATGAATAGTAGCTAAGCAAACATTTTCTTATTGCGAATAAATATTTACTAAATGTAAACACACATTATTTGATTTAAGTATTATCTTCTTTTTTTGAATAAATACTTACTTGCAATAAGGAAATGTTTACTTTGCTACTATTAAAAAAAATATCACTTAAATTTAGGATTTTTTTTTCCGTGTATGTTAAGATAGCAAAGTTGTACAGCTGAATAAAATTAGCGTTGTAATAGCACAGCAAATTTGTTAATATAACAAAGACAACTTTCGATAAAAGTCAATCTTATATATAGATTTATAGATCAAAATTTTTCCAATATACAAAACAAACATGCTAGCTAAGATGGCGTGTGTGTGCTTTTATTATTACAATGAAGATTTGTTGATGAAAACAATTAGCAATTTTATTCATTGTAGCAAAGAATATTTTTGTTGAATTATCAAATTTTCTCAGTTATAGATGTTCAACTCGCATAGCTATATAGCTATAGCTTTGCTGAACTATCTAATTTAATTTTTTCCATGATCTTATATCACTTGACGTTTTATTTCTCTAATTTCTGTATCATATATGTATACGTTCTTAAAGAGGGCTTGCCTTAGAACTGCTTAGAGCAGCAATAAACGTTCTACCTATTTCTTTGTCTTTCTCTCTGCGTGTGTCTGCGCTGTGCTCCGCTTCGCGATGACGAGACAATCAGAAAAAGAATAGCACGCCGCGGTACGATTGAACTTTCACTTCGACGTTGCGATTCGATTGTAAATATACGCGGTGAGAAGAAATCCGTGAGTCGGCAAAGTGCAGACGGATAGATAACCTCGACAGCGGGGTATAACGCGTCGTTGTTTATCGGCCGTTCATTCTTCCTGCGGGGATCAGCTTGAGGACCGTGGAAACTGGGAATGATATAAGTATGTTGGGTTGTACGAGAACGATGCTGCTTAGCGCAGGGTAGATACTTCGTGACACTAGCGGCGAATACATGTGCCGAGTGATGATGTTCGTAAAATTACACGGTAACGCATTTTGTTGAGTAGAAAACATAAGTGATAAACTGGACCAAGTGAGTGTACAATTCGATACAAGATAGAATCATCTGCATCATTATTACGTAAGAAATGGTGTCTCCAATCGCTAGTATCATTGGGTATCTATCTGGGTTCCTTTTCTTAAAAAGTATCCCATACGAAAAATTAGGAAAACGCTATAGTATATATAATATAACGCATACTATAGTATTTCCCTAGTTTTACGTATGCGATACTTTTTAAGACTAGGAGCTCAGATAGATACTCAATGATACTAGCATCGATTGGAGATATCATTTCTTACACAATAATGATACAGATGATTCTATCTTGCATCGAATTGTACATACACTTTATTAAATAAAAAACGAAAGAGAGAGGAGAATATCATGAAATTAAATCATTTAAACAATGCTATCTCAGTTCGAGTGCGTCCAATAGAATTCTCTATAAAATTTTAATCGAGGAGAAAAATTTATCTTCACACACACAAAACTTATTAAAGCCGATATTTATAGTCAGATCTTATATTTGAGACCGTCTTAAGTTCAGCCTTGAGGTATCATGAACCAATCAGAGAGCCGCATTGGCATCTTAAGACATTACTTAAGACGGTTTTGAAATAAGAACCCGGCCTATAATACTTCTATCAAAGCCAGCCTTCGAAGATCTTAAGCGAACTTTTTTACGAACAACACATGAGCTACTGAATCGGGAAATGAACGTTTGGCTCTCTTCTATAAAAATAATTTTTATAATTTGTTTCTCCTTGTCAAAATTTAGGAGCGAAGGTAATCTCTTCTTCTTGAATATATTCATGTCTGAAGGTATTTTATGGAATTATTACCTAATGACTAAGAATGTTATCTCTTGTGCAATAACGATGTCGACTGATGTAAGTTTAAGTATTTGCACTTTCTAGAGTTCGAATTTATGTACTAGTACGTTAATTAAATCATCCTTTTAAATGAGTCTATACGATCAAATAAAATTACCACTACCGGATCGACATTTGCTTGCTGCAGGATATTTATAGCTAATGATAAAAAAAAAGTTACCTAACTGACAAGTTCGTTTTTATAAATCGACGATCAATGTCGCGCGAGATGAAGCGAGTGTAATATCGAGAAAAAGCTTTACATACTGCGAATATAGCTTTCCAGTGAATTCTAGAATGTTAACTCATTCGACGAGATGAAAATCGATTGGACCACGAGCCATTCGTACGCTGATTATACCAATCGATCGCAATGAATTTTGTCGAATTTGTTATTTATACAAATTACATTTATTTCACTTAATCCTGTAGCACACTAATTAAGCTCATTCGGATGTGCGTACTCATGGTTTATCACCCATAGCATTACTTTCGTAAATAGCTTCAATATAATGTATCAACAAGACAACTACTTTAAACATACAATTAAGGAGCATACAGCCACAACTCAAGATGTTCTAAGAGAGAAAGTAATATATTTTAAATTAATACGTTAAATTATAAAATTTGTAGACGTTTCGATCAAGCTTTGACCATCATCAGTACAATAACGCATAGATGTTATTTACAATCAACTATAGATATAATTGTCTTCTACGTGTTTCTTTAATTCGACGTTAAGATCTCGTTCAAACTTATGCAATTTAAAATTCGATTATCCATATAAAAATTCAGAAGAAATTCAATCGTCTTGGTTCAGAATTATTGTTAAAACATTTTTTCTAGAACATTGTGGCAAACACAGGACTTCCAGATTTTTTGTATCTGTGAAAAAAAGATCCTCATGATTTTAGTATAATGTAATTATATTTGTATAAGTATTATAATGTGGTTAGATGATACGATGATGAAAGAATTATTGACAGAAAGAGAGTGAGATATAGTGACGTATCATAGTCACATATAGTAACATATTTTACTTTCTGTCAAAAATATAATTATATTATACAAATATAATTACATTATACTAAAATTGTGGGGATCTTTGTTCACAGACACAGAATCTGGAAGTCCTGTGTTTGCCAACGGTCTAGAAAAAATGTTTTAACAATAATTTTGAACCAAGACGATTGAATTTCTTCTGAATTTTTATATGGATAATCGAATTTTAAATTGCATAAGTTTGAACGAGATCTTAACATCGAATTAAAGAAACATGTAAAAGACAATTATGACTGTGTTCCAAAATTGACTGCCAGTACTGAAAATCTATAATGTACGTAACGTAAACTATAACATTTTCAGTACTGACAATAAATTTGGAACAGCCTATATCTATAGTTGATTGTAACATCTATTGTATCGTTATTGTACTGATGATGGTCAAAACTTGATCGAAACGTCTATAAATTTTATAATTTAACGTATTAATTTAAAATATATTACTTTCTCTCTTAGAACATCTTGAATTATGTGACTGTATGCTCCTTAATTGTATGTTTATATTATTAAACCATCTTCAAAAGTTTAAAAAACAAGTACTTTAATTTAATATAACATTTCACAACAAAACGAACTAATAGAAACTCTTATGCACTTTTTATAGTACACACAGTATGCTTATAACATTAATTTTTGATACCATTGCGTATTTTTAATTTTTGATCAATTTGCCTGAAAAATATTAATATTTATTTGGTGCTATAAAAGATCCAGATTATTTACTAATGATGTACCTACATATAATGAAATATTACATATATTACATTTCTCTCTCACTATATCTCAATCTAATTTACTTTAGAAGTAATTTTGAAAATATTTGTAATGATCTTCACTGTTTCCTTATTATAATCTCTCTTAATAAGTTTTTTTTAATCCATATTCACGTAAACAAAGAAATGTATACATGCATACATACCATACATGCAATAATTATCAAGAGACAATTCTCATTGGTCATTGCCTCTTATTAAAATAAAAAATAATTTCACTCACCAATTCATATAATGTGCAGTGGCAGAATTGTAACCGTAATAATCTGTAAAAAAAATATATCCATATTATAGACTCCTTTAAAAATAATGAATATTTCTAAAAATTATGCATACATTAAATTTTTCGTCCTTCCCTTTTAAATAGATATTTCATAAAATAATCATATAATTTCCGAGAAAAGTCTTTTCATTAAGTATAACAATTTTTGCAAATCTGATAAAAATGAAAGTTTAATATTTATAATAAAATAATCCTAATGATATAAATCTAAAACATCTTGAAAATATTACATTCATGTATTCATACATTCATCATTATATAGTATTTATATTATATTCATACATTCATGAATGTAATATTATCAATATTTGATTAAATTTTGGAGAGAAAGAGAAAGAGAGACACAGAGAGAAAATCATTTATAAGAAAAATTTACATGAAAAGAACCTAGACAACACGCATTGTTCAGAACATATCTTTATGATGTCTTTAGACATCTTTTAACCATGTATGTCCCAAAAGACGTCATTAATGTCATTACGATGTCTTTATGATGTTTTTTAGATATGCATGTTGTCTTTGTGAAAAATAAGACAAGAAGTGCAACGTGTATGATTTTATCAGGGAAGAACGATTAATGTCGCAGTAACAAATATAACAGTTAAAGATAAATGTACAGTACACTCCGTCCACCTTAAAATGGCATAAAAATACACTGAATCGATACGTTTTTGCATAAAAATGAAGCTTTGACGAGAAAAAAGTGTCACTCTGTTCCACGAATCGAGTTATTAAGCGTTAAAGTTAACGATTATTCAGGTTAGGTGAACATTAATATTTCCATTGACACTTCTACATAGTCGTCAACTTTATCGCTTAATAATTCGGTTCGCGGAGCAGAGCGACACTTTTTTTCTCCTCAAAGCTTCATTTTTACGCGAAAACGTATCGATTCAGTGTATTTTTATGCCATTTTCGGGTCTCCGGTACATTTACCCAATTAAATAATAAATTACTCACCCAGAGATTATTCTGCCCGATGCCCGATGCCTCCCCGGGCTTCTTCCTCTCTTATTTTCGCGTTGTCCGTTGGCTTCTTCATGGCACTCACACACTACACTCGTAGAAAACATAGTTAAGTATAAGTACGCTCGCGCACACACCGATTACCAAAATACGATACTCGCGCGACACTTGGCACGGCACTTCTGAGACACGACGATGTTAATCGGATGCAACGCGTATACCCATATTGCAAGAGAAGACGAAATAAACGAAAAGAGCGCGAGCCAAAGTACGACGCCCACCGCACTCGCCTCGCGACCAAACGGCTAGGTACATTTCCACTAGCCGTTCAAATCAACTTATGTTTGTTCACGTTGTTTAAAATCCCCAAAAAATTTGCACTTAAAAAGAGACGAACACACATATTCGGACGTTGAAGAAAGAGAAAACGAAGATGCTGAGCGCAAAAAGTACAAGCAACGCGAACAGATTTATTTAATCCTTGTTGTTCACCGAATTGAAGGCGACGGAAACGATCTGCGATCAACTTCACGCGTTTCAAGATCCGTTACGGCGGTGCTACACCTGTTGCTCCGAGCTGCACCTTTGTACACTCTCGCACTTTGAAGAATGAGTTACGATTTCATTTTAATTGTTATTTTGTGTATTATGACATACGTGAATAAATACATGTATTTTTAGAATTAGAGGCAATTGCGAATTAATCACGATTTATTTATTAAAATGCGATGCCATTTGACTCTGTCTTAAAGATCCGTTGTCTTTCAAAATTTTTTGAATGAATCTTATGGACTTTCTACAATAAGTCATTACGTAAGTTTCAAGTCTTAAGCCATGAGAAATTGACCAATCATAGTCGACCATTCTTCTCACATTCAACTGTGATTGATCAATTTCTTACAATTTAAGACTTAAAACTTAGATAATGATTTATTATAGAAAGCCATTACTCTGAAAAATGAAATCTCACTAATTAAGACAAAATCATACAAAAATGTGCAATCGAAATTCAGTGTTACGCGAGCAATATAATTTCGCGAACGCGAATTCTGCGAAATATACATACTGTTAATAAATGATCGATGTAATAGGTTTTCCATTACTTGAATCACGATGTCTACTTCAAATTAATGAATCATGCGAAATATACGTCCCGATAAATAGCCGTCGGTTTGACACACTTATGAATCGTTAATCGCGGAAGTTAAGTAATCACACGGATTTGCGAATCACTAATCGTTCATACGAAACGATCGCTCATTCTTTCGAGCACTCGCTATCGCGTCTCGAGGGATAATAACGACGTATTATACTTGGAGCTTTGTGCCGTGCCAACCCGTTCGAGTATCGCCGAGAGAATAACAACACGACGCGCCAGGCAGGCCGCGTGCCGCGTGCCGCGGTCACCGCCGGTAAACACAATAGGTGCACGGTGGTGGCAAAAAACCAACTGCCGGCCGAACGTCGTTTTTGTTGATATATCTCGTAACCGCCACGAAATATTCGAAGCGCTGAAAAGTAAACGTATACGTTTTATTTCTTGCGTATCACATTAATTTCGATGAATGGACTATTCACTCGCACATTTTGCTATTCGTTTCTTTAACCTTTCAGTAGATAGGTGGATTTTGAAACGTAAGTAGATAGATGGGGTGCTGAGATACCACAAAAAGTTTTTATTTTTATAATTATATTTTTTACTAGAATATCATATTTTAGTTAAACTTACATTAGTTATACTCTAATAAGATAGAGAAATGTAAAAATAATTTTTAGGACTTTAACACTCCTGGATGATACTTTTTAATTTTGCAAAACGGTAGTTTTAATTACGGATTTTCCGATTTTATTTCATTAACACAATTATTATTAAAAAACACAACTTGGACTAAAAAAAATACAAATATTCTGATACTAAATAGTACCATAAAACATAAATCATACAAAATTGTCATTACAGCGTAAAAAAAAATATCGAGTTGAAGGTAGGATAAGTAGAAATAAAAGATACAAAAATTGTTAATTTTTTTATAAAAAATGAATATTTTAATGACAAAAATATGTAAAACAGTCAATGTTTGAATTAAAAAAAACATAAAATTAAATTTCGTTTTATAGAATTGAAATATAACAACAAAAATAACAGAAAAATAAGATTATTTACTTTTTATAATTAAATTTACATTAGTTACATTTAATAAAATATAGACATGTAAAAATAATATAAATAAGACAAGAAAAGTAATATAAACAAGACAACTCGACTACAGCAGAGAAAAACCTCTGATTATACAAAAACTCGAAAGAAGGTAAAGTATAAAAAGAAAACACAAGTAGGTAGGTGAGATGTTCGCAGCATCCCCAGCATGTTTGATGCTCTATTATTGTTTACTGCTTCAATACTGATGAGCCACTACCACTTTAATCTGCCAAGTAAACATTAATAGGAAGATACTAAATCGATGAGCTCTGTTGTCAATCTAAAAGTATGAAATATTTAAGAAAAACTATGCCTAGGGTGCTTAAATACCCCACATACCTATTGAAAGGTTAATCTAATTAGCGTCATGTGAGGTAACAATTATTAGATCAGATTTGCACGATGCTTTTTTAACTACTATAGCGTGCTGTTCTTCTAGCGAACTAGAAAATTTTTTGAAAATTTAATACTGGAAGATATCCAAGCAGAAAATATATGTTTGAAAAACATATAGTCGAAATGTTTTTGTGTTGTATAAAAAATATTAAATACACATTAATAACATTAAATATTCGTTTATCAAAACGTCGAAAACTCTCTTACGAGAATGGTATTTTGAATTAGTAAAAAAAATGTTTAATAAACATTACAAATGTCTTATAAACATTTTTATAACGTTTATTAAAACGTCGAAAAGTTTCATTCAAGAACAGTATTTTAAACTAGTAAAAAAAGTGTTTAATACATGTTACAAACGTCTTATAAACATTTTTGTAACGTTTATTAAATAGTTTAAATAGCTTAAAAAACGTATCAAAGTTTAAACGTTCATTTTTCAGTTTATACATTTATTACACGATTTTTAAAGTTTATTAAATGTACTTTGAACGTATAACTGTATTGTTTGAATAGTGATTAATAGTGCTTTTAATACTCAAAATAAATAAGTAATCATTATCTTTCAATATTAAATTGACCAATATTAAATTGGATTTTTGTAAGGAATTAGCAGCTAAAAAATATTGTTCCTTTACTTCAAAAGTGACACAACTCAAAAAACTCAAAAAATTATTTTCGAATTATTACTATAATGCTCTATTAATTATAAAAAATAAACTAATTTAACTTCACAATCCGTTCATTAAATAACACATATGTCATTCTTAAAGTTTTCAAAGAGATCATAATAGCTTCCACAAGTGATCTATTTTGTATTATCTATGTCGTTTTTGTAAATAAAAAGAAGTCTTCTACAGAGAACATTTAGAATTAAGACAATTTTGATAATCGAAATTGAAAAAAAATTGTTTTATTTTGAATTTAATAATTTTAACTGATCAAGGTAAATATGTATGTATATGAACTGTTGCTATTTCGAGTTATATGATTTATGATGAATTATTTTGGATTTGCTAACTTTGTAGGATATCAGAAGTCATCACAACTGAAAAGGCGTGGTTTTTAAGAGTTCTGAAATAAAAATTCTAAAAATGACATTTGATCATGTCTTTAAGAGTACAGTTTTTTTAAAATATATTATTTAATTTTTCTATTATGTTGAAAAATAGTTTTCCCCTCTTCTGAAAAATTAATTTTTTTAGTTGTAATAAAAGAGAACGATATTATTTTTAGCTGCTAATTTTCTAGTTTGCTAGAAGACTAGCACGTTATTAATTGCTAATAAAAAAAGCATTGTGTAAATAAGACTTTATTGCTTGCTTCAAAATTTTCAGAAATTATAATGAGAATATCGTTGATTGAAATCGATAAATGTATTATGTTACTAATACTAATTTTTCAATTAGCTGTCATAATAACGTGCGATTTCATCAGTATTCTACTAATCTAACTTAATCATTAGTAAATCATTTTTTCTATAAAAATAATTAACTATAATTATATTTATCATTCATTGACATTATAAAACTAAATATATATCTTTGCGCAGCAATCCTATTTGCGCTTTACAAGTATTTGAATTAAATATTTTAATGTGCAACACTTTCATGAATATTCTAAATAGGATGAATAGTCTAAATGGAAAATCAAGGAAAGGAAATTTGTGGTACACGTTTAAATAACATTTGTACAGTACAAACATCACGGACGTCGTTCCGACAAGTCGCATTGATTTTTCTCTCTCCTCGTTTTCGCAGGCAGAAAAATGGAGCGGTGTTCGGAAACAGGAGATGGATGGCTCGCGATATATCAATGAATACGAAGGCGCGAAACGTTTCGGATGCGGGCAGGGTAGCACGGAGAAAGGAAGTAAAAATCGAACGTGCGATCGAGGAGAGAACGCGAGTGGCAACCGTTCTTCACCGCGGAATGTCGAAGTGTCTTGGATCGGAAGTCGAGTGCGTTCAATCGTTAATCATGGCGGTTGCGCGAAAAGAAACTCCCATTCGCAATCGTGCCAGTCCGATTGTATGTACGCGTTTTTGTCGGAGGTCATGTATACCGGCAGCCACCGTCGCGTCGCCGCCATCATCCCCTCGGTATATATTGTATCAGCGTATTGTTGACTCGCACACATTTTCGTTGTGGCAACCTATAAATCTTCGGCGTTTCCTCTTACAAGCCATTACCGAACGTGAACTCGCGATACTTGTGCGCGACCGTAAGACGACGGAAAGTAAGAAGCCATTGAGTGGCTCGAACGTGGCTGGAATTAATTTCATCTCTCGCCATGCTGTTAGCACTCACGCAACGACGGGGAATGAATCGCTCTGCACCTGTCTAGGAAAGAGAGAGAGAGAGAGAGAGAGAGAGAGAGAGAGAGAGAGAGAGAGAGAGAGAGTTGTCGCAAACTATATGAGAACGGGAACACTGTGACGCTTCAATGCCTTTCTCATTAGTTTACTCTTTGTCCGATTTATCGAAATTGTAAAAAGCATTACGCATCGGGCATTAGCGTGTCGCGCCTTAAAATGCTCTAGAAAGTTTGAAAAAATAGAAGGATTCTCTCTTTTACTTTTCCAAATAGAGAAATAATCTATTAACGATCTTTAGATGACATTTGAACGGCGCCAAATGTGACATTAATGTTTTCAATATTGAATATTATGTTTTGAATATCAAGATTTAATGATGAGACGAAATTTTGTTTTTAGTTTATGTTAAATAAATTTTAAAGAGGTCTGGGGTTTAAAGTTGTCAGAATTAATGATAAAAACAGTGAACATTTAGAACCTGATATTCTATTCAGCGCGTTTGCTATTGAAACTTTAAACTGAATCCATATTAATGAGAACAATATAATAATAACAAGTTATTTTGTAGCAATTCGCGAGTTGTTAGGATAAGTTTAGATACTGAATGCTTTGATAGAACTGGCTAAAGAGAACGAGATCTCGGTTAATTATCATTGAGCGTTACATTCTGTACAACGAGCGTGCAGACATAACGGAAGTAACAGAGATTTGTGAGGGTAATGCGAGAGGAAGAGCAATTCTAGAGAAGCATACGGAAAGAGATCGTGAGACAGAGGGATAGAAACGAATGGGAAGGGAGAAGGGACAAGCAGGAGACGTTGAAGCGGAGCCTGAAGAGAGGAGATGACCGAACGAGATGCTCTTTGAGACACTGAGAGCTCCAATAAAGCCGGACCAATTACTGACTACCGTCCTTTCCCATTCCCTATTGATTTGCATTCAAATAGATGTTATACTCTAAGTAGACGGATCCTAATGGATTATCAGTTCGAGTCATCGCGAGCTTCAAAGCTTTCCCCTTTCCTGCTATTACAGAACCGCCTCCTTTCCGATCCTCGTATATCCACTGTTTCATCCATTTCCTAATGAAACCTCGGAGTGGCCCTTTTTCTAAACTTACCTAATGATCAGCTCGAAACTTATCCCGTCCACCATGTACACACCGGTCAAAGTCGGAGAGGAATTACTCCCATGACCGTAGGAGAGATCGCTGCTTGCCGGAGTATCCTCTTGGAGAAGTAGTTAATGGAGTTGGGAAGAACTCGAAATTGAATGCCCGCTTTAGCTGATCGCGTAATCTTCTTGCCAAAAAAAGTTTCTTCAACAACGATCATTCTATCGAGTTTTAAATTTGCACGCCTAAACGATTACGAAATAACATCATTTCGCGTCACGCAAGCAAGCCAACTAATACTTTAATAACAACTACGTCTTCAATGAAAAAAAAAAAAAAATAGACATTAATTATAATTCCTGGATGTATTCAATCGTGAATATCCTTCATAGCTCATCTTTTTCCATTCAAAATACGATTCGTAACGGTTCGAAAGTTACGGCACGCATTCAACAAGAATTTATCATGACGGTAATAAATTTGAACGGAATCGTCGTACACACGTATGTATATGAAGGCGTATGGAATACAAGAGCGGTCACGAACGAACGCGAGGGAGATGCCCCTCGTGCGAATTTTCATATTTATATTCCGGCTTTTCGAGCATCGTACCGACATGCTCACGTACGACGCACTTGTCGACGCGCCATTCTGCAGCGGTGGACCCGGGTAATGAGTTAAAATGAGTTTGGAATAATCGCGGAACCGGGCCGGTTCAGCGACGGCTAGAACGAGGAGGACGTGTCCCTCGGGCAGAGAAGGAACCACAGGTAACGCGAGAGAACGGGAGAGAGCGAGAAAAGCAAGAAACACAAGGTCCCTATGAGAGTAAAGACGAGATGGATGAAGGGGGTGGCGGGCGGCGGTCGGTGGAAGGACTTTGTGGAGAGAAGCGTGTGTACGTCTGGTGGTATGAGAGAGCTGGGAGCGCGTGTCCGGTATCTGGCTCGCTAATTAGCTGCAAGGTGGGATAAAGAGTGCCCGAGTCGAAAACATTAAAGCCAGCAGCGGGGTGGAAGTGTAATGGACGTTGACGTATGGCCTCTATAGCTACCGACTAGCCGGGGGTGATGTCGACGAAGAACTCGCGCGGCAATGATCTGCTATATACTCAGAGTGCTCGAAGTCCGCGACACGACTCGGAAAGTTAAACCACGTCGGCGATCGCCTGCAGTGATCTCGCGAGAAACGATAAAATGACGCGGTAAAATCGGGAGTAAGATAATATCTCAACCGGGCGTCTGACAGAGTTTTTTACTTTGTAAATTAATTTTCGAGAGAGAAAGTATTCTAATGATTATTTAGTACGTTGTAATATGCAAATTATTTTGCTTAGTTCGATCGCGAATGTATATTTACAAGACATCTATATTGCTGTTTGAGAGAAGTCGAAGTTTAATTATACTACTTCTCAGAAACTTGAAAGATCGATACGTACGTGTCATGTTTGCATGGAGTTGTATACCACATTTCTGGTTATAATCATGTTTCGAAATTGTTGCAATATAACTTGGAAAAATAAATTATTAGTTGGTAACGTAGCTTGAGGTTGCAAAATCATACAACTTTCTCGTGTAGCGATGTACTGAAAGTCTTTCGATTCCTTCAGAAATGTCGTGGAGAACCGAGAAATACATATTCCACACTTCAGGCATGTTGCGTCTAAAAGTGCAACGGATTATCCGCACAATCTTTATCCGGGCAATGCATTATCTGCAACTTCCACTATCTCGCGAAAAGTCGGCTACAATGTAGCGCAGCGTTCCGCGCATAATTGAAAGCAGAGACGAGAAAGCAGGCTACACCATTAAAGGTCACAGGACATTGTTATCGAGGTATGAATTATACATGGGTGTAATCGTAACTTTCGACACGGTGTGTAATATTATCGGCGAAAATGTTAATGTAACCTAGCGGGTATTCTTCTTGATGACCAAAAAGTTGGATCGACGAGAAATCATGGCTTCGCCGTGGCGAATGGACGGTGATTTTCATAGCGGACACGAGGAAGAAATCGGATTTATTTCATAGAGCTCACAAGTTGCCATTAATTCACGCGGTGCATCGGCTCGATGTGCATAGACGATAGTTACGAGCATTCGTACATCCTCACCCGTACGACACGGTACCGCTCTCGCATGGAAGTCTACAAGCGTAGGCGTGGGGGATCGCGCCGGGGTGATTGCTTTACGACGACATTATTTGCGCTAACTCATGGCACCGCGCAATAATAAAGTGCACGGGGTCAACGATAGGTAAATCCGCTTCTCCCTGGCTTCTCCGCCGTCCTTGTGGTCGTATTACATTCTGCAGAATCCGCGCCTGGGAGCTCGCCGTCCGAAGAGGCCGCGTAGACGAGAGCGTTGCCTCGTTGCTACGTTGGAGGGTTGTGGGGGGGTGAGCTCGGGGAGAATGGTGGGTTCGGCCTCATGACGTAGTTAAATCCTCAGCCGGATACACACTTCATGTACGAACTAAAGAGAATAAAAACGACTTTCTTCCTTTTTTTCCTCTCTCGCTCGTTCTCCGGCCTTGTCGTTCGCGTCTCCACACGAATGTGGAAGGACAGAAAAAGTCACGCGAGAACAGGGAGGACATAGTCGAAGAGATGAGTAACAGAAGTTAAAGGGGATTCGGTCGGCGACTAAAAGGGGAGGACGTGCGTTGGTTGGTTGATTCGGAACGGGCAGAAAGGGGAGGTCAGGTGAGTGTAGGTTCGGTCGGTCTGTCGGTTCGCTGGGTTATATCATCTTTCGTATAATTACTGACATAAAATGCCAGAAGATTTTCGTCCTCTCCGTTGCTCCTTGCTCGCAACCCCCTCTTCTCTCTGTCGCTCTTTGACCCTCTCCTTCTTCTTTCATCGTCCTCTTAATCCGCATCTCCTTTCGCTCTCTCTCTTTCCATTTCTCTCTTCGCGCCACACCGCCTTTTCTCACTCCTTCGCGTTTCTTTTCTCTTCCGCGGAGTAGAAAATTTTCAATTCCATTCATGTAAATTATTGTAGCGCACCGACTCTCGACATGTGCAACTTGTATTAATGACGCAGTAAAGGAGCAGACGGACGGAGAGCTGCCCATTAGCGGATGAAAGCGGAGGGCTCTCAGCGCATAGCCCGATAATAGCCCGACTTATACCCGCCGAGGTTGCGTAGTTTAGCCCGCGTTAACGTTACGGGTCCGCGGCGTACCTCTGCCCTGCCTCTCTGCCTCCGTCTAACTGCCGATCCGCCTCTGCCCTCTGCGCGATATCCTTGGCTGTTTGCCCGCTCCTATTCCACGATATATTTTTACTTTTAACCATCTACGCGCTCCAACACGGTTTGTCTCCCGTTTATGTGAATTTTCTCACATGCAAGTTTGCGCCTGAATTGATTCAAATGTACCTGTTTAATTCTTAAAATAAACCTCATTAAAAATAAAAAAAACTGGTATGAAAGACTTAAGGAATTGGCGAACGTTTGAATATCCATATCGACAGATATATTTAAAGATTGTAAGTACTAGCTTTAGTTTGTACAAAATAATACTTAAATATTGATGAAAAAAGCGAAAAACATGTTAGTTAAAAAATTAGACCTGTGATGAAAATTTTTGTATCTTTTATTTAAATTTCTATATATAAATATTATATTTTCATAAGAATAAATATGCCTTTAAAAACTTGTATTGTTAAATCTCTCCAGCCGAGTATTGTAAAGCCTGAAACAGGATACGCGAGCTCGGACATTAATGTCGAACAAAGTTTCAAGTGCGATAACAGGAATCGAATGCACGATGCGAGGAAGGAAGAAAGCGCGTCTTTAGATTTCTTTGGAATACTGTATTGCTGCGAGACTGCGGTTTCAGTAGCAACGACTGTATCACGGACACGCGGCAGTAGTAACGGTATTTCTTTATATCGGTTTGAATTTATCCAATCGACTCGAATGCACTGTGTGCACACGTGCACATGTTCCGGTAGGTAGATATGTACGCCAAAGTGTCCAGGTTCGTTGTTTCGTTTCTTCCATGAAAATCAAGATGAGGGTATTCTATGGACACGTTAAGTCGAACTATCAGTGGCATTATCGTGTTGTAGAAAAAGGGGTTCGATAACAGCGACTCGTTCTTGTTTGAATTCAATGAACGTTCTCTCACATGAAATTGTACAATGTCACGAAGCAGACCAAGCAACCGTTCAATGAGTAATCCATTTGAAGAGCCGACTTTCAATGCTTTTTGTCCAAAATATTTTTTTTAGTTAGAGATGGTGTGGTGTTCAATAATAAAAGACACGTATTATAATAAGCTACTTTGGAATGTTCAAAAAGCATTTTTTCAAGCGTCAATTTGTATACTGAAATAAATCTAGACATTTGACATGCGTTATGTCCTTTAACTAAAGACAAACAAAATGCATTTGTTTAACATTGTTAGAAATTCTTTAGCAATTTTGTTTAACATTTTATATCTTACTGATTGGCAAATGTTATTTTTTGTAAGTAAAAAAATAGTATTTTTGTAGATTTTGACTTTTCGAATATCATAAAATTATTAAAAAGTTTATAACATTTGGAGAACACTTGAAAAGTAAGCAAGAATATTGAAATTTGTTTAAATATGTCATGTTTGTACTCAATTTTCAAGGTGTTCCCTATCGATCCCGAGCTTTTTATTAACATTATCGTATTCAGGAGATTGAAATCTATAAAAAATGCTATTCCCTTTAATTACATCTTTGTGGACACAAAAATCGGTCTCTTTTTGATATCCTCCTTTACTGATAGATAAAAAATCTCCAGATAGATAAAGAATTTCGAAAATTATTATTATTATTATTTATTGCAATGTGTGTGTGTAAATACACACAGCAAATGGCAAGGCATCAGCAAGACTGCTGTTACAAAGCCAACCAGTAGATAACAATATAGTAATAAATGAATAAAACAGATAGAAAATAGGTGTCTTTATAAAAAAAGCTTCAATACAAAGCCGAAATATAAAATTATATCACAGTAAATTATTTTAAGAACGATGTTATAAAAATCTTTTTACCTTAA